TGTATTTATGACTCATTCGTATTTTGGCACGAATTCTTATTTTATTTGGATAGTGTGCATTGTTAGTGTATTGCTAAATATTATTGCACTGTTGGAGCTATAAACGTAAGCATTTCACTGCACCTGTGGTAACATTTGCAAATATGTGTACGCGACCAATAAACTTTGATTTGGTCTACATGATTTATAAGTGACCTCTAAAACGTATAGGTTATCTCTATAGGGGATAACTGAAGTGTACTGCAAACCACAATGAGACACAAAAAGGTGTGTTGCAAGTCCCAGGTCTCGTTTATTTATAAAGCTATACATATCCACAAATAAATTGCACTTTAGTGTAAACAAACTGGTCAATGATGACAATACAGTGGGGAGAACAAGTATTTGATACACTGCCGATTTTGCAGGTTTTCCTACTTACAAAGCATGTAGAGGTCTGTAATTTTTTTATCATAGATACACTTCAACTGTGAGAGATGGAATCTAAAACAAAAATCCAGAAAATCACATTGTATGATTTTTAAGTAATTAATTTGCATTTTATTGCATGACATAAGTATTTGATCGCCTACCAACCAGTAAGAATTCCGGCTCTCACAGACCTGTTAGTTTTTCTTTAAGAAGCCCTCCTGTTCTCCACTCATTACCTGTATTAACTGCACGGGTTTGAACTCGTTACCTGTATAAAAGACACCTGTCCACACACTCAATCAAACAGACTCCAACCTCTCCACAATGGCCAAGACCAGAGAGCTGTGTAAGGACATCAGGGATACAATTGTAGACTTGCACAAGGCTGGGATGGGCTACAGGACAATAGGCAAGCAGCTTGGTGAGAAGGCAACAACTGTTGGCGCTATTATTAGAAAATTGAAGAAGTTCAAGATGACGGTCAATCACCCTCGGTCTGGGGCTCCATGCAAGATCTCACCTCGTGGGCCATCAATGATCATGAGGAAGGTGAGGGATCAGCCCAGAACTACACGGCAGGACCTGGTCAATGACCTGAAGAGAGCTGGGACCACAGTCTCAAAGAAAACCATTAGTAACACACTACGCCGTCATGGATTAAAATCCTGCAGCGCACGCAATGTCCCCCTGCTCAAGCCAGCGCATGTCCAGGCCCGTCTGAAGTTTGCCAATGACCATCTGGATGATCCAGAGGAGGAATGGGAGAAGGTCATGTGGTCTAATGAGACAAAAATAGAGCTTTTTGGTCTAAACTCCACTCGCCGTGTTTGGAGGAAGAAGAAGGATGAGTACAACCCCAAGAACACCATCCCAACCGTGAAGCATGGAGGTGGAAACATCATTCTTTGTGGATGCTTTTCTGCAAAGGGGACAGGACGACTGCACTATATTGAGAGGAGGATGGATGGGGCCATGTATCGCGAGATCTTGGCCAACAACCTCCTTCCCTCAGTAAGAGCATTGAAGATGGGTCGTGGCTGGGTCTTCCAGCATGACAACGACCCGAAAACACACAGCCAGGGCAACTAAGGAGTGGCTCCGTAAGAAGCATCTCAAGGTCCTGGAGTGGCCTAGCCAGGCTCCAGACCTGAACCCAATAGAAAATATTTGGAGGGAGCTGAAAGTCCGTATTGCCCAGCGACAGCCCCGAAACCTGAAGGATCTGGAGAAGGTCTGTATGGAGGAGTGGGCCAAAATCCCTGCTGCAGTGTGTGCAACCCTGGTCAAGACCTACAGGAAACGTATGATCTCTGTAATTGCAAACAAAGGTTTCTGTACCAAATATTAAGTTCTGCTTTTCTGATGTATCAAATACTTATGTCATGCAATAAAATGCAAATGAATTACTTAAAAATCATACTGTGAGAGATTCCGTTTCTCACAGTTGAAGTGTACCTATGATAAAAATTACAGACCTCTACATGCTTTGCAAGTAGGAAAACCTGCAAAATCGGCAGTGTATTAAATACTTGTTCTCCCCACTGTACATGAAAGGCTGCCTTGGCCTGGGCCTGAGCATGAGCCTAGGCCATAAATTGAGTTGAGCGCTTACGAAGCAGAGGTAACTGTGGGGTGAAGGTGGAGGAGCAGACATGATGATTAGAAGCACTTCCGGTGGACGATGGAGGGGCCGGCCTCGTCATACTCCTGCTTGCTGATCCACATCTGCTGGAAGGTGGAGAGGGAGGCCAAGATGGAGCCGCCAATCCACACAGAGTACTTCCTCTCAGGGGGAGCGATAATCTACAAACAAGTGATAATGCCATTGGTTAGTGGCCTAATAGCAGGGTGCTTTATAAAGTGAAAACCAATTTATGTTCTTATGTGCATAAAATCTACATAATAGACAAGTCTCTCAAAAATACCTCACTTTGTGACATTTGTTGGTCCCAAAGTTTTGTGCCCCATATACCATTAAAACGTTTGAGAAATACATTGTAATAGAACATTGAAAATAAAGAGTTACCTTGATCTTCATGGTGCTAGGGGCCAAAGCGGTTATCTCCTTCTGCATACGGTCAGCAATACCAGGGTACATGGTGGTACCACCCGACAGAACGTTGTTGGCATACAGGTCCTTACGGATGTCAATGTCACACTTCATGATGCTGTTGTAGGTAGTTTCGTGAATACCGGCAGATTCCATCCCTGTTTACCAAAAGACAATGATGTTATCATTCAATCTGAGCCAGCCCCTTAGGCAAAATACACTTGTTATCACTGTCAACTGTGAAAATAGTTGGGCAGATGGCCGCTAGAACGTTGGCTGCAAATAGGTGCTGAAATGGACAGCTCCTCTGCAGCAGCTGAATGCTGTTGTTATGGTAGGTATGTCAACAAGCATCTGCAGCTCGTGCTTAACATGCCAGTGTTGTATTTCAAAAGCAGCATCAATAAGTTAGTCAGCTGAGCCAGCAAACTTTGATAAACACACAGAGAGGACTATGATTTAAATGTTCTGATTCATAATGAAAGCTAGAGCTGAATATTGATTTAGTTACGCCTATCCGGATATCAGGATAATTAATTGATTCTGCTTTGTGAAAGTACCGGCAGGCCTATATGCTATGTTAGTAACAGAGTTACCCTACGTCACATAGATTACATTAACGAAGTCTAACTAATCCACAACAGTCTTACGTTTCACCATGATTAGCTCGACTTAAGATAACCGTGCGTAATACACCAACGGCTGGGGAGATCAGTAATACCCACCAATGAAGGAGGGCTGGAAGAGAGTCTCAGGGCAACGGAACCTCTCGTTACCGATGGTGATGACCTGTCCGTCGGGCAACTCGTAGCTCTTCTCCAGGGAGGAGGAGGAGGCAGCGGTGGCCATCTCATTTTCGAAGTCCAGAGCCACGTAACACAACTTCTCCTTGATGTCACGCACGATCTCACGCTCAGCTGTTGGGTTTCAAGTGTGGCATTTGATTGTTATTGAAAAATATAGTCTAACATATGTGCCATATATTTGTGCTAACATTTTTGCGGAATATCATGCTTTTCCTCATTCCTCATCTGGCTAATATTGCCCATGTCCCGTGCGTACCAGTAGTAACGAAAGAGTAGCCACGTTCGGTCAGGATCTTCATGAGGTAGTCTGTGAGGTCGCGACCAGCCAGATCTAGACGCATGATGGCATGGGGCAGAGCATAGCCCTCATAGATGGGCACGTTGTGGGTCACACCATCACCAGAGTCCAGCACAATACCTAAAAGATTGTGGTGATATATGTTAGCATTGAACACGACCTCTCAGGTGGTCATGGCTGAAGACTACTTATCTATCCATCATACCTGTGGTACGTCCAGATGCATAAAGGGACAGCACGGCCTGGATGGCCACGTACATGGCAGGGACGTTGAAGGTCTCAAACATGATTTGGGTCATCTTCTCCCTGTTGGCCTTGGGGTTGAGGGGAGCCTCTGTGAGCAGGGTCGGGTGCTCCTCAGGGGCCACACGCAACTCGTTATAGAAGGTGTGATGCCAGATTTTCTCCATGTCATCCCAGTTAGTGATGATGCCGTGCTCGATGGGGTACTTCAGGGTCAGGATACCCCTCTTGCTCTGGGCCTCGTCACCGACGTAGGAATCTTTTTGACCCATACCGACCATGACGCCCTGAGAAAACGCAAGGATGGCTATTAATCAACATGGCATATTATATGTTAGGGCTTCTGAAGGGCCTTTAAACTTGCCGAGAAAAGGTTCCAAAGTTGTTTGTTATTGCCTGTTGTGTTACAGACAATAATAACACAACCACTTTGTATTCATTCTGTTTCTTTTGTTTCACACAGCAGCTTCAGGTGCAATACTCTACCTGGTGACGTGGGCGACCCACGATGGAGGGGAAGACAGCGCGCGGTGCATCATCTCCAGCGAAGCCAGCCTTCACCAGTCCTGAGCCGTTGTCGCACACCAAAGCGGTAGTTTCCTCGTCGTCGCACATGGTGTCAGCTCTGATGGTAACGGTACAATAATATGGTAATTTTGATTTTAGCATACACTTTTACGCTTGGACTATATGGCACAATCTTTGGTGTTGCATGCACCATGCTCCAATCAACTTAGCTATGTAAGTCGCTCTGGATAAGAGCGTCTGCTAAATGACTAAAATGTAAATGTAATGTAATGAATTACGCATGTACGGCAACTCAAATGAAAGTGTTAATACTTTATACATGCATTATATTTTATAATTATTTTTACTGAAGGTTTGTTAGTTGAATCACATCAGTTGAAATAAGGGGTGGATGCAACTATCAGACTTATTTTACATTCAGTTTTATAAAGGACCATAGTTTTGCAAGTAGCCTATTTCAGGTTGTTTTTCAGGGTGTTAATGGTTAGTGACTTTTTGTGAGTATGCTTCATACCCACGAAGTTTTAATTTGTTAATGCAGCTAAATCATCATTTGTTACGTGGCACACAATGTCCCCCTCTATTATATGTTGTATGTATACAATAACCAAATGTCAAACGCCGGAAAATAACAAATGGGCTTGAAAATCTAAAAAGAATGCAGTCGAAAAACGTTTAATTGTTGGGGGGAAAATATGTAATAATAATAATAAATAATAATATGCCATTTAGCAGACGCTTTTATCCAAAGCGACTTACAGTCATGCGTGCATACATTTTTTGTGTATGGGTGGTCCCGGGGATCGAACCCACTACCTTAGCGTTACAAGCGCCGTGCTCTACCAGCTGAGCTACAGAGGACCACATGTATATTTGACGCAGTTCCAGTTAGGGAATTACAGTTGGTTAGTTGCGGATGAGAGCATTCCATTGATAATCTTGTCAATCGGGTTAGCATAATTGTAGTCCTCCAAGGTAATTCCAAAATATTTCTCACTCTTGACTCAAGAGGAATAACTGATGTCAAACTAGCGCTACTCACCAGATCAGCACAGTGCGCTGGACCTTGAGTGTCAAGGATAAGGAGCTGTGAGGACACGCCAATTTATACTCTGACAGTGTCCGCGTGGCAGGGAGGACTACGATTGGGGCGAAGTGCGCCACCTTCTCCTTATTTGGTAGCCCTCACACCACTGACAACCGCGAGCCCATTAATGGGAGTCACGCGCGCTGCATCCATCCCCGCGGCCCATGTAGGGAGGAAGATGAGGGCAGCTAGTGCGGGTCAACCTGACAATATACACACACCTCTGTTTCCAACAGATGTCAAATACCAGTTTGGAAGACAATGACTGAAATAAACAAATCCTGTCAATTGAAATAAAGTCTTTGATTCCTTATTGTTCAAATGTGTTGAACATCTTAATTGATGTCCTGATGCTGCTCTATTGATAATATTCTGGGGAATATGTAGCAAATTCTAGAATTGATTTATTGATTGGTTAATTGATTACAAAAATGGGGAAACGTTTAATTCCAGCTGATAAATGGATATGCTACAAATTCTATTATGTATGGGATTTACAAAGAGGACTATGGAAAGAGGCCTACCAAAAGGAACGTTTCCATGTTTTGTCAAGAAGCTTGATATAGTAGTAACATTCCCAGACTATACCCACTGGGCACACCATCTCATTTCAATGTGGATAATTGGGTAATATTTGGTTGAGAATTTGATCAATGAGATTACAACCTATATTCACCCACTCAAAAAGACAGCGTAAAGTTAGTTGAATTTCCAATGTGTATGCTTTCAACTATCTAACAGCACAACCAAATTCCAATGGAAAAACAATGTCTGATTTTTGGTTTAGTTGTCACCCAAATGTCTATCACTGCGCTTTCAACCATTTAAAAGCAGTACAGTTCAAATGATACAACAGATCACTGTGCTTCATCTAATAGCACAACTAAATGACCTGGATTGCAGTTGAGATTACATTAAAAGTACATGGTGCAAGTTAGCAATGCCGTTCGAGATTCTGCACAGATAATTACAGCAATTGTGAAGATCTCCACAGACCTGATACGACCTACAGTGCCTTCGGAAAGTATTCAGACCCCTTAACGTTTTCCACATTTTCTTACGTTACAGCCTTATTCTATTTATTTTTTATTAATTTTTATCCTCAGCAATCTGCACACAATACCCCATAATGACAAAGCGAAAACAGGTTTTTAGAAGTTTTTTGCAAATGTATTAAAAAAGAAAAAAAAAGAAAAATCACACATAAGTATTCAGACCCTTTGCTAGGAGAGTCGAAATTGAGCTCGGGTGCATCTTGTTTCCATTGATCATCCTTGAGATGTTTCTACAACTTGATTGGAGTCCACCTGTGGTAGATTCAATTGATTGGCCATGATTTGGAAAGGCACACACCTGTCTATATAAGGTCCCACAGTTGACAGTGCATGTCAGAGCAAAAACCAAGCCATGAGGTCGAAGGAATTGTCCGTAGAGCTCCGAGACAGGATTGTGTTGAGGCACAGATCTGGGGAAGGATACCAAAAAATGTCTGCAGCATTGAAGGTCCCCAAGAACACAGTGGCCTCCATCATTCTTAAATGGAAGAGGTTTGGAACCACCAAGACTCTTCCTAGAGCTGGTCGCCCGGCCAAACTGAACAATCGGGGGAGAAGGACCTTGGTCAGGGAGGTGACCAAGAACCCGATGGTCACTCTGACAGTGCTCTAGAGTTCCTCTGTGGAGATGGGAGAACCTTCCAGAAGGACAACCATCTCTGCAGCACTCCACCAATCAGGCCTTTATGGTAGAGTGGCCAGACGGAAGCCACTCCACAGTAAAAGGCACATGACAGCCCGCTTGGAGTTTGCCAAAAGGCACCTAAAGACTCTCAGACCATGAGAAACAAGATTCTCTGGTCTGATGAAACCAAGATTAAACTCTTTGGACTGAATGTCCAGCATCACGTCTGGAGGAAACCTGGCACCGCCCCTACGGTGAAGCATGGTGTTGGCAGCATCATGCTGTGGGATTGTTTTTCAGCAGCAGGGACTGGGAGACTAGTCAGGATCGAGACAAAGATGAACTGAGCAAAGTACAGCGAGATCCTTGATGAGAACCTGCTCCAGAGTGCTCAGGACCTCAGACTGGGGCAATGGTTCACCTTCCAACAGGACAACGACCCTAAGCACACAGCCAAGACAACACAGGAGTGGCTTCAGGACAAGTCTCTGAATGTCCTTGAGTGGCCCAGCCAGAGCCCAGACTTGAACCCAATCGAACATCTCTGGAGAGACCTGAAAATAGCTGTGCAGCAACGCTCCCCATCCAACCTGACAGAGCTTGAGGATCTGCAGAGAAGAATGGGAGAAACTCCCCAAATACAGGTGTGCCAAGCTTGTAGCGTCATACCCAAGAAGACTCCAGGCTGCAATTGCTGTCAAAGGTGCTTCAACAAAGTACTGAATAGTTATGTAAATGTAATATTTCAGTTTTTTTATTATTTACTTTAGGTTATTTATTGTATTTCGAAAGTAATATTTAATTGTGTTTGGTCGATAATGCAACCAAATATCAACATTTATAGGAGATATAACTAGTGCTTGGACAGTTCCATCTGTGCCACTGACTTTGTCTGGCTTTAATTCCAGTTTGTTCACTAATTAATAATTGATACAGTATATATAATGTAAATAGGATGTAACTTACAATGTATGATATTAATCCAGTTTAAAAATAATAAAGATAGCCTAACTATAATAAAAAAGTAACAAAACAAGTAACAAAACAAGAAATTATGCAAACAACTAATTGTATCTCATGAAAGAGAAAATAAACTGAGAAAGATGTTATCTTGTTTTAAACAACAACAAGTTACCAAAGGGTAGCTGTAGATAGATCAATTCTCCTTCAAAACAACAGTTTATGTTGATGACTTCAAATCCAATGTGTTTTCCATGTAGATTCCACGTCACAATACGTTGACAAATGACTTTGAAACACGTTGATTCAACCAGTTTGTGCCCAGTTGGTAGCCATTCAGACGGCGATGGGATGAACAGTGGAGCAGCAAATGGGGAGACAACTTGTGCCACACAGCTGGCAATAGCAGCTGCTTGTCACTATTATGAATAGAAATTCCAAAGCTGACCATTCTGGATTCTCTTTAAGCAGAGGAGTAAGGTCATTGAGGCAGTTTGAAGCAACGGCAAGAAATTGTTGTGAAATATATGATTCAGTTGAACCTGTTTTCTTTGTATAGGCCTATATGGCCTGTCTAGTTTATGCCTGTTTCCAAAATAAATTATATATTTAGTGTTCAAATCATTTCAGAAAATTCAAGTACTTTAACTGTCATATCTAATGAAGAGGTATTTCAACTGTGGAACCAGGGCCGGTTCCAGGCATAAGCAACATAAGCGGTCGCTTAGGGCCCCTGGCCGCTAGGGGGCCCCGACCCCAAAAAAATCTAATACAAATTATATATATCATTCTTTTAGGAACTCACTCAGGGTCTCAACTCACTATTGAGAGCAAGAATAGTAGAAAACACCAGGTGCAATTTCGAAATTTGGTTGTGTTTCTCTTATTATGTCAGTCACTGACAGTCACTCAATTAGCCATGTCAGCTAACAAGTTTTAGATTGGCAGTTAGTCTAGCCAGCTATCTAAACTTGTAGTAAACAGGCACACAGGGGCCCTGATCTCCAGGGGGCCCCCATTGATTTTCATAGTCATTCTCACTCAGATATCATATTAACATGGCATAAGTCATTACAAAATGTGTAGAATTGCAGGAAATTACCTTTAAAACTGCGAACATTTCTCTCCACCCAATGGCTAAATTGGTAGAATTGCAGGAAATTCACTGTAAAACTGGAGAAAAAAAATCTCTACCCCTGGTAAAATGAGTAGAATTGCATAAAATGTGTTATAAAATTGCAACGTTATCTCTCCACTCCATGGCAAAATGTGTAGAATTTCAAAAACAATTGCTGTAACAGTGCAATACAGCCATTTTTATCTCAATATCAAATCATTTCTGGTAACAATTTAGTACCTT